TCCGAAGTAGAGGTAACTCTACGTAGGGTATGTGAGCGATCAAATAGGTTGTGTTTGAATTTTATGAAGTTAATCAAGGTGGATAACATTAAAGCCAATAATGCAAAAGAATTCCTAAATAAAAATCAAGGATTATCTCCATTTAAAATTGCGGGAAAAGTTTATTGTGGAAAGTTTCATTAATGTACTCTTCACTAAAAAAGTTCATCTGATTCCGCTCCATCCATGATTTCGTGATCCATGTGTTCCACATATAAGCTAAACTTGCAAACATGAGAATGAATGTGATAGACTCATTTATGGTTTTATTCATCATGAACTCCTTACCTGTTGAGTTTGGTCAATCCTAGGTGAACTATAACACCATTAATGATAAACGGGATTGTAAGCAAATTAAGGCTATGCTGGTGCAGGAAGAGGTGGGAATAAATGAGATGAAAGAAGAGTCGATTCATTTTATATCTCATGTGGGAGCCAATAATAGTAAGATAAAATGGGAAATAAAGGCAAATAAAAGGAGACTGACTTACTTAAAGTTTTTGTAGGTCCAATCATTAAATAAATAAGGTGTTAGTTTTGTAAAAAGCTAGGCCACCTTAGGAAAGATTGCCCGAAATAAAATCTTGATTCGAAAAGAAAGACATACATTAATTTTTTGTATGTTGTGAATCAAATTTATTAAAGATTCCCAATAATATTTGGTGGCTTGGTTCTGTGCAACTACTTATGCATCTCATATTTATTTTGAGGTTAAACGTAGTGCACATAATTAAAATTCTACTCTCTTATGGCATTAAAGATTATCGTCACATATCCAAAGAAAAGTTTTGAGAATAGTGAATAATGAAACCATTTCTCATTTGGATTTTAGTGATAAGGATGTATGTATAAAATGAATTAAAGAAAAGCAAACTAGCATACATTAAAGAGATCTGCCAGGAGAAGCATTAAAATCTTATAACTTATGTACACTAATTTTTGTGGTCTATTCAACATCCCTTTGTGGGGTGATGTAAAGTATTTAATCACCATTATAAATGATTTCTCATGTTATAGTCTACTACATGAAAAGATTCAATCATTGGACTATCTAAAGATATACAATGATGATATGGAGAGGTAGTTAGATAAATAAGTAAAAGTTGTGAGATCTCCTTAGATTGGTGAATATTATTGTAAGTTCAATGAAAGAGGACAATATCCTAGTCCATTTGCAAAGTTTCTTGAAATTTGAAATATTTGTGTGCAATACACTATAATTGAGACTCTTCAACATAATGGTGTTGCTGAGAGGATAAACCGTACTTAAAGAATATGGTTAGGAGTATGTTGAGAAATTCAACATTAACGTTTTCTATGTGGACTGCTGCATATTGGGTAAACAAGGTTCCTAGTAAAGTAGTTCTTATTATGAACTATGGAAGGGTAGGAAACCTAGTTTTAGGCATCTTGATGATTGTTGGTGTCAAGCAGAAGTAAAAGTATATAATCCACATGAAAAGAAACTTGTTCCTAGGACATTCAATGATTTTTCATTGGCTATCCGGAAAAGTCTAAAGGATATAGGTTCTACTCTTCTAACCATAGTGCGAGAATAGTTGACTCTGACAATGCTCGATTCATTAAAAATGGTCAAATCAGTGGGAGTTTGGAACCGCAAAGTTTGGATGTCAAAGAAACTCGGGTTGAACAGTCCAAACCCGAGAGTCCATCAATGGTTGTTATTCTTTTAGTTACAATACCGTCATGTAACTTAGATGAATAACGAAATGATCCAAACTCACTTGATAATGAATCGGTCACAAGCAATCAAGAAATTATAGAACAACCTATGGTTGATGAATGACAAGCCATGAAAAGTTAAAATTCTGGAAAAGTTTATCAATGCCATGAAAGAATAATTAAAATTAAAGTCAATGGATGAAAATAAAGTCTTTAGTTCAATAGATTTACCTGAAGGGTCTAAAAGAGTTGGGTGTAAATGGGTTTTTTCAAAACCAAACACGACTCTAAAGGTAATATCGAAAGATATAAAGTTAGACTTGTTTCTAAAGGTTACACTCAAAAGGAAGGCATTGACTACAAGGAAGCATTCTCTCTCGTTTCAAGAAAGATTCCTTGAGAATTGTAATGACAATGGTGGCTCTGTATGTTTTGAGCTGTATCAAAATGGACATAAAGATCACCTTCTAAATGATAAACTTAGAAGGAGATCTACATGAACTAATTAAAAGTTTTTTAGATCACAAGAAATGAAACGTTAGTGTGTAAGTTGAATAGCTCGATATATGGACTAAAACAAGTCTCTCGTGAATGGTATCTTAAGTTTAATGATACCATCACTGCTTATAGATTTGTAGGGAATACCGTAGATCGGTGTATCTACATTAAGGTCAGTGGGAGTAGATTTATTATTTAGTTTCATATGTCGATGACATATTATAGTTGATAATAATGTGGACATGTTGCACGAATTAAAGTATTATCTCTCTAAAAAGTTATGAAATAAAGGATGTGGATGAAACGTCCTTGCTAATTGGAATAGAAATATTCTGGAATAGATCACAAGGACTAAAAGCTTATCCCATAGAAGTTTTATTTGAGAGATAATGGATGGTTGTTCCGTAAAATTCCAATTCATAAAAGGGACACATTTAGTCTAAAATAAATGTTCGAAAGGTGAAATGGAATGAAAAGTGATGGAGAAAATTTCTTAGATATAAATGATTAGGAGTCTTAAGCGAGACGAACCTGTACTAGGTCTGATAATATATTTGTTGTTGGTATGTTAAACAACTATAAAAATAATTTTAAATGATTATGCTGCAAAGAAATTTTTTAAAGTACTTACAAGGCATTAAAGAACACATGCTAACTTAAAGAAGATCCAAATTATTGGTTATTATTGGATACTCGGATTCAGACTTTTGCTCATAATGTCTAAAGGAGCAAAATTATGGAAAGGTGGAACAAAAGTCCATCATCGCGACTTCCACGGTGTAGAGGAGTTTGTGGTATGCTTTGAGGCCACAAGTCAAATTTAGGGCTACGGTGCTTTATCTTAGGACTTGGAAATGTCGACATCTTGTCCAAGCCGCTAAGAATTATCGCAGTATCGTAGCAATAATATTTCAAGGAATGACAAGTATTCAAAGGGTGTGAATCACATAAAATTGAAATACTTGGTCGTAAAAATAGAAGTGAGGAACTAAAGTGTCATTTGAGCATTTTAGTACTAATTGCATGAAAGTGGATCCATTAAAAAGGTTTATTCCCTATAGCCTTTGGAAAGCATATAAAGAAATTGGGAATAACGAATGGGGCCTTGTTGGACTGACCGATACTGAATGAAATTTTGCTCAATTAATGATTTTGACACTTATTGAATTCAATTAAAGATTTTTGATTCTTCACATACAATATCATCATTATGGATATTTGATTTTATAGTATATACATAAAAGTTGGATGACTTATGGTTATGGTACGAATAGTTTGTCCCATATTAAAGTAAAATTGAATTAGAAATGATTTGTGGTACATGGAAGGGATCATGTCGCTCGAAGACTTGTGACCGCCATGACTCGGTTAATTTCTAATTTGATTTTAAATTTAGAGATATATGTATTCAATTATAAGTTTGATGAAAAGTGCGCGCTTAAAGTAGTTCTTTGGGTTTCGACACTATATGGTCCAAGTGGGAGAATGTAATAATATTTTATATTATTATATTATTGTGGACCATATAATTAGTTGGACCTAATTGAATTAATAGTCAAACTTATTTAAGGTGAATATGTATTTAATGGATTATTAATGTTCTAATATTAAAGAGTCCAATTTGTGATGTTTGACTTGGACAGTAAGTTAGGTTAGAACATGGGGAATGTTAGTAGGATTAGGATTGTAAGTCTTTTCCTCTTATATATACTACATGCCCCTCTCTCCCATCTCATACGAAATAAAGTTCTCAACATCAAGGGCTTTATGAAAAGACGAGAGACGCGGGAGAGAGAAACAATTGAAACAATTCATAGGCAAAGGCGAATCTATCATTGGAGATTATGAAAAAGATAGATCCATGAGATTACGAGGAAGAGATGGCAGATAAACATCATAGATCAAGAAAACAGGGAATGACTATAAGCTGGATTCTTGTAAGTTCTATGTGCAATTTAATTTATGCGAAAGATCCATATTCTATGAATTGATAGAATTACATGCGTAGGGTTTATTCAATTCCGCTTAATAGTTATGAATATGTCCGTTAAATTTCTTACAGACTCAACATGTAAATGCTGTGGAGAGGCACAAGAATCAATAGAGCACATCATGTTCCACTGTGACAGAGCTTGCAAAATGTGGGAAATGACTCCAATATCTTGGAATGGCATCTCACAATATTCTGACTCATTTAAATTTTGGTGGCAACACTGCTCCTTGCCAATATCTGTAACATCACACCACAGAATCCAGTTGACAACATACTTGCTTTGGTGGATGTGGAAGATACGCAATTTATGGATCTTCCAAGGCACTTTCATGCCTACTCACATTGTGGTCAAGACAACACTCTCAGATTGGAATGAATTCAGTTGTTCTAGATAATATTTTTTCTGTTTTTTTCTTCTTGTTTGTTCTAGTTTGTATTAGCTGGTTTCTTTTCAGTTGGGTTCTGTTGTTTTCTTATGTTCAGGGGAAGTCTGCTAGGCCTTATGGCAGTGGTAAGGCTTCCTTATGAACTTAGTTTTAGTTTGGTTTTCTGTTGATGTTGATGTGAGGTTCTAGGCATCTTGTAGATGTGCCTCTAAGGTTATTTTTTAGGGTGAATTGGGGTCTTCCCCTTACTATATTAGAACGTTGTTCTCGATTGAGTTATATATAGCATTTTAGCGTTTTGAAAAAAAATAAATCTAAGATTCACAAATTTCTAGCGACTACATTGTCTTTAATTAATTTATGATCCAAGGGTTGAAAAAAAAGCTGCTGGGCTGCTGTTTATGGGGGAATTAGGGCAATCAGCGAGTGATGTCAAAGAAAATCGAGAATCCCTCAGGTTCAAAAACAAGAAAGCTGTAAACCATGTACTCTTCACAATGCGCCTTAAAATTCTTACCCTCAAATCCAGGCCAAAACAGAGCCCACCTCCAAAGCCCTAGGTCTCACAGACGCAAATCTCGTTTCCGACAAAATCTCGCTTCTTTCAAATGAAATCTTGCTCAATATTCTCTCAAAGCTCTCGAATCTCAGAGGAATGTCAATTTTCTTGTCTCCAAACGTTGGTCGAATGTGCAGGGCCGGCTTGTGAGGTCCATAAAGCTTCTCGACTGGGATTTTCTTATTTCAGGTTGATTATTTCTCAGGTTCCCAAATCGTATTCATGTTGATTTTGTAAATGGATGCTTCATTTCACCACGTAATTCGAGTGTGTCCATAATTTCACAAGGTTGTGTCTTTTCATTTGGGCTGTGAAGCTGAGTATAACAAAGATTTTATTTTTGGATCAAACGTTTGTGTTGAGTGCTGATGAAGTCGACAGGGGCTTGAGTGTTTTGGCTAATGGGTACCCAAATTTGAGGAAATTAGTAATTGTGAATGCTGGTGAAATATGGCTGCAGAGTGTGGCTAATGAATGTGTCACATTGCAAGAACTTGAACTTCACATGTGTAACGACTGTATTCTGCGTGGAATTTTAGCCTCTAAGAATTTACGAATTTTAAGGTTAAGTGGGTTCGTGCATGTGATTTATGATTCATTGGTTTCAGATGTGGGATTGATAATTTTAGCACAAGGGTGTAAGAGATTATTGAAACTTGAATTGATGTCAAATGCTTGAAGAGTTGACTTTTTGTGATCATAGAATGGAGGACGGTTGGCTCTTGGGACTTTGTTATAGTGAAAATTTGATGTCTTCAAAGTTTTTGTCGTCTAAGAGAGTTGACCGTGGTTTTGGATTTGATGAGCGTTTGTGGATTTGTCCTGCTGTTGAGAGTTTGCACTTGGAGAAGTGTCAGTTGAGGAACAAGAAGAGTTTGAGAGCATTGTTTTTAGTTTGTGGGATTGTGAGGGAAGTTGTCAAAAATTGCTGGTGTCTAACTGATGAATTGTTCAGCACAGCAAGTGCTTTAAGGTATTGGATTTTCTTTCACTTTTTTGTTCCTTTTTCAAGTCCTGTTCTTATGCGTCCTCGATATATTAGGACTTTTGCTTGTGTTTTTGTTCACCTTCTGCTGCTGTTTTAGTGTTATCAAATGCAGAAAAGTAGGGTGAATGAGTGTTCTATATTCATGATTTCGCGACTCATTCAACAAACTGGAAACATAGTCTTCGAATTTGTTAATACTTTTAGCTTCACTTAGCAAACCTAGGAATATTTAATTTTTTTTTTTTTTCTATCTTCTACATTTGGTATAAGAAATTGGTTCAAAGTTAAAAGCCATTCAAACTTGAAGGGGGTACACAGAAAAATGCTTTAGTAGTGTATAAATATTCTATTACACATAGACAGCTTCCTACAACAAACAACAACAGTACAATAGTAGTGCACACATCATTATCCATGAAACACAAACAAATGGCAACACATACTACAAAAATCCAAGAACTAAACCCCAACTTCAACTCCATCAGAAATAGCCCTCAAAGAATCAGGCACTTGAATAGGAAACACCACATTATCATACAACACCCCTGCGAAAGCTGCACCAATCAAGGGCCCAACCCAGTAAACCGCATGGTTCTTGAAACTCCCCCCAACAGCTGCAGCCCCAAACGAACACGCAGGGTTCATGGACCCTCCCGTAAATGGGCCAGATGCCAATACATTTGCTCCCACTATAAGCCCAATTGCCAATGGCCCAATAATTGCCCCCATGGCCCCTCTCCTAGGATCTGCTGACGCATATACTGTGTAAACCAGAGCAAAAGTCATCACACCCTCAATTACGGCCGCCCCAAATCCGGTCATTTCTGATGGGATCGTGTGAAACGGGACTTGCTATAAGAAATTAATAAAAAAGTTATGTTAGACAAAAGTACGAAAAATGTAGTTAAATTAATTAATTTATGGTACTCGATCTGACCTGTCCAACTGTCGTGGTTTTGAGCACAAGACATGCAATGAGAGAGGCTAGCATTTGGGAAATCCAATAAAAGATAGCCATAGGGATTGTGATGTGGCCCCCAACAGCCATCCCAAAAGTGACGGCCGGATTTACATGGCCGCCAGATATGTTGGCCGATATGTAAACGGCCACTGATAAAGCAAAGGCATTTGCCAATGCCACAACCACAAGGCTGGATGGCTCGGCTTCTGCTTCCGGCATCATCTTCCCTGCAAAAATATCACACAAATTTTATTTTCAATTCAGTTTGAAGTCAAAAATAATTGAACACAAATAATGAAAAAAAATAGATATTATTATTGAGATATGTGTATGTATTATATTGTACGAGAAGCCATGGTGGCGCCAACGGCAGAGAAGACAAAGATGAATGTGGAAATGAACTCAGCCAAATATGATCTCAAAGCGATGGGAGTGATGGAGGATTTCAGGGACGCCATTGATTGAAGACCAACTTTTTTTTCTGTCAAAACGAGAAATTATTATTATTAAATTAAATGGTTACGTAGTTCATGTTTGGAGAAAGGGTGAATTATAAGCAGTTGAGAGACGAGGAAATTTGGGAGTTGTGGCGGTTAGTGAGTGAGGGATGGATAGTTTTCTTTTTTTTCTTGTTCAAATTTTGTAACCGCTACTAAATACCAACCTCAGCTTCTATATACTAGATATAATATCTACTTAAGTCTTAATCGTAATTAAAGATTTTCGAATTCTGGTATTTCCAGTTTTCTTATCTAACTAGTATTTGATCCTGTTCATTTGCACAGATATAAAACACATTTTTGTTTGTATTTATTAATTAGACATGTACTTCTATCATATAAAAATTATTACTTTTTCTTAAGTTATTTTTATCATTCAAAATTAATTGAGATTTAAATTTTATTTTAACCATGCAACGTTTACATTAGTAACATGAATAAAATAATATATATATTTGTGGCATATATTAAGAAAATTAACATAAATAAAAAAAAATTATTGGTGTTTCTGATTTTTAGAAAAAAAAATGTGTCAATCATATTTTTCTTCCAACAATGCAACCAAATATAGCGGTTACAGCTCTGAATGTACTAATCAACTTTAAGTTCCAACATTAGCAGTTACACATTTGAATATATTTGCTACCAAATTTAGAATTAATTTAGTAATTGATCCAAAAAATAAATAATATATATATATATAGGGGACGGATCCAGTGGGTCCACCTCTTAAAATGTGGACGTGAGACCCAATCTCAACCGTTGAATCTGCCTTTTAAATTTACGGTCAGCATCAGGTATATATAATTATAAACCTTCAGCTCGCGCGCACACAAAATCGGAAATAATATCTCAGATTTCCTCCTCAATCACGATTCTCTGCGATTTCTTTCTCAATCTCGATTTCCTTATCAATTTGAAGTTCGATTTCATCGTCTGATTAGGTTTAACTCTCGTTTTCTATAGGCAAACTCAACTGCTCGTCAAAAATATCCAGGGAAAAAAGAGTCGATTTCATCAAATTTATCTACAAATGTCGACGGGAGCAGCTTCAATGGAGATCGAAGCAACTCCAGTTGCGCCATTAATGGAAGAAGGTATACTGACTTTAAATAAAATAGTTGCTGATGAATTCACCATGAATGAAAATCGAGTTATTCAATTAGAATCAATCACGTAATATTGAAAAAATTGTTCGTGCTTATCTGCAATTTTGATTTTTGTAGAATCTCTGTTTTCTGGCAAGAATATTATATAATGTTGATGCAGTTGTTCAAATTATATAATGTTGCTGATAATGTTGAATAAATTGTCCATGTTATTCTGGAATTTTGATTCATGATATAACTAACACCTAGCAGCACTAGATCACTAACCTAGCAGCAGTAGACAACTAACCTAGCAGAACAGAGTTCTAACCTAGCAAACACATAAAACGAACCTAGCAGCATGAGAGAAGTAAGCAGCATGAGAGAAGTAACCTAGCAACTACATACAACTAACCTAGCAGCATCAGAGAATTATCCTAGCAAATAAATATAACTAACTTAGCAACTACAGACAATTGACCTAGCTGAGAGAAAGTAACCTAGCAGCATGAGAGAAGTAACCTAGCAAACACATAAAACGAACACAGCACCTACATACAACTAACTAGCAGCATGAGAGAAGTAACCTAGCAGCATGAGAGAAGTAACCTAGCAGCATGAGACAACTAACCTAGCAGCATGAGTGAACTAACCTAGCAGCATCAGGGAACTATCCTAGCAAATAAATATAACTAACTTAGCAACTACAGACAATTGACCCAGCAACTAAAAGACAACAAACCTACCAACAAGAGACAAGTAACCTAGCAACAAGAGACATATAAACTTGCAAATAGATATAACTATCCTAGCAGCAAACATACAACTAACATTGCAACACGATACAAAATAACCTTGCATTTGCAATTATTAAGGCTAATGTTTTTGTATGATATTTTGCAACAGGTATTACACATGATGGATGTCAATTTCAATTGGTGATATCACCAAATTCAACAAAGTACTGGATACCAATTGTCAAAGAAGATGTAAGACCAAAAGTTGGCATGCTCTTTGAGAATCTGGAAATTGGGATGCAATATTACAGAAACTATGGAGCAAATGGTGGATTTGATGTTCGTACTAGTACAAAAAAATGTTTTAGAAGTGGGATGGTGAGAAAACAATTCATAGTTTGCAGCAAGGAAGGATTTAAACTACAATCCAGACCCAAAAATTCAACAGGAGTTCATCGAGATCGTGTTTCAAAAAGAATTGGTTGCATGGCTCGGGCAGTGTTTGAATACGATGATGGAAAAGGATACAAAATTACATATTTCGAAGAGAAACACAGCCACAGTTTGACATTGGAAGCACATTATTTGAATGCAAACAGGCAACTGAACTATGGCCATCAGAAGTTTGTCCTTAATTGTGTAAAAGCCAACATCGGACCTGCTAAAACACACATGTTATACAAGGAAATGGTTGGAGGATATGAAAATGTTGGTGCTCTGGCAATTGATTTCAAAAACTTCAAAAGAGAACTTATGACTTACATGTCGGGGGCAGATGCACAACTCATCATTCAGAAATTTCTCAACAAGCAGGAAGTTTACCCGGACATTGCATTTGAATATGCTGTGGATGAAAATAATCAATTAAGCAGGATCTTTTGGGCTGACCAGATTTCAAGAAAAAATTACCTCATGTTTGGAGATGTTGTTTCATTTGATGCAACCTACAACACTAACATGTACGCAAACATTTCCCTTGTCTTGACTCTAATTTATATGTAATGTATGCTTTCTAGTAGCATGTGAGTTAAACTGACTTTGCAACTAGATATAACTAACCTAGCAACGTATGATAACTAACCTAGCTATAGCAGAGAACTAACCTAGCATCATCTAACAACTAACCTAGCGACAACATAACTAACCTAGCAACAAAATACAGCTAACCTAGCAGCTACAGATAACTATCCCAGCAGCTACAGATAACTAACCTAGCAGAATAAGACAACTAACCTAGCAACATACAACTAACATTGCAACGTGATAAAACTAACCTGGCAGAGTTATATAACTATCCTAGCAGGTACATATAACTAACCTAACAACAACAGACAACTAACCTAGCAGCTAGACATAACTAACCTAGCAACAATAGACAACTAACCTAGCAACAACAGACAACTGCTAGGATAGTTATATATCATAAACTTGCAAGTAATATACTACTTAACAATTTCATTTATTATTCTGATTTGCTTTCTATCTTTAAACAGGTACAAAATGGTGTTTGTACCGTTTACAGGAATTGACAACCATAAAAAGTGTGTCACATTTGGAGTCGGATTGATGGTTAAAGAGGATGTGGAATCATACATTTGGTTATTGGAAAATTTTTTGAGAGCTATGGGAAATGAACCATATTACATTGTTACTGACCAAGATCCTGCTATGAAGAATGCAATTCAGGCGACTTTCAAACAGGCAAGACATCGTTTGTGCATGTGGCATATCATGGAAAAGGTAAATGTAAAGGTTGGTCCTACAGCCAAGGATAATAACTTCATCAAAAAGCTGAATGAAATTGTGTGGGATATTTACATAAATCCTGATGAATTTGAAGAAAAGTGGAGAAGATTGATGAATGATTTTGCCTTAACAGAGAATCAGTGGTTTAACAATCTATTTCAGATTAGAAAGTCGTGGATACCAGCATACTTTAAGGATGTCAAAATGGGTGGCCTACTGAAAACAACTTCTAGGTCTGAGAGTGTTAATAGTTGGTTCGGAAGCTACATATCTCCTCAAGCAAGCTTAGTTGAGTTCTTTATGCATTTTGAAAGTGCAATGGATTCACAAAGGCATGTTATAAGGAAGCTGAATTATGAATGTGTGACAGCACCTCCTGAGTGCAAGACACCGTTACAAATTGAAAAACATGCTGCAAAAGTTTACACAAAAACAGTGTTTTCAGAGGTGCAAATGGAGATTGAAGCAGCATGTTTCAGATGTGTGCCTGTGCATATTGAAAAGGAGCATGAAACAACCAGATATAAGGTTGTAGAAGTTGGTCGAGATGGTATTGACTTCATTCTTAATAAGTGCGGGGATTGGGTAGATTGCAGCTGCAAAAAGTTTCAACAGTTTGGATTGTTATGTCGTCACGCTATAATGCTAATCAAGGATTTAGAAAAAATACTAGAGAAATACCTCCTCAACCGTTGGCTTAAGGTTGCTTCTTCTGGACATGGTATTGATAATGCAAGATTAAATCCACTTGATGGCAAAAATTAGAGAAATGCATATCTAAACAATCTATGGTCTGATTTTTATTGTTGTATAAGTCTTGTTGAAGGTAATGATGATAAATTGGAACGATTATCGAGGATTATAAATGAAGAAAAGAACCATTTGTTGGGTGCACATCAAGTTTCTAGTTCAATACTAAGTAAAGGAGCTGTGATACAAGAGTTCTGTGGATCTGTTTCAAATCTCGAGGTTGATATCCTGCCACCACAGCAAGCAAAAAATAAGGGGAGCGGAAGCAGCACAAAAAGCCGATTGTTGTCACAGCGAGAAAAATCTATCAAAGAAAGTCAAAAGTTGAAAAGACGTTGTGGAAAATGTGGAGAAGTGGGAAATCATAATAGTAGAACTTGTAATAAGACCAGTGACATTTCTGCTTGTAATAAATAGAAATTTGATGTGTTGTTATTGCATAGTATTATTTCAGAAAACATAGCATATACATACAACTAACCTTGCAACGAAATTGAACTAACCTAGCAGCTTTAAACAATTAGCCTAGCAGCAGAAAAAAAACTAACCTAGCAGCATTACAAAAAATAACCTAGCAGCATTAGACAATAACCTTCAACTATAAAAAACTAACTTATCATCATTAGGCAACTAACCTAGCAACAAATACACAACTAACCTAGCGGGAAGAAAGAATTAACCTAGCAAAAAAAAAAGCAACTAACCTAGCAACAGGAAAGTAATAACCAAGCAACTTACAACAACTAACCTAGCAGCATAGAATAAATAAACTAGCAACAACATACAACTAACCTAGCAGCATTAGACAACTAACCTTGCAACAAAAAGCAAATAAACTAGCAGCATGTA